TCCTCCTCCTCTCTCTCCTCGCTCTTCCTCCTCTTCTCTCTCTCTCTTCCGATACCCCTCTTCAAATAACTGGCTTTGTACCCACCATTTGTCATATACTATGCGCCTAGCTAGGGCTGGGGCGATAGCACAGCGGTAGGGCATTTGCCTTGCACGCAGCAGGCCCACCTGAGCCGGGTTCGATTCCTCTGCCCCTCTCAGAGAGCCCGGCAAGCTACTGAGATTATCTCGCCCGAACGGCAAAGCCTGGCAAGCTACCCATGACGTGTTCAGTATGCCAAACACAGTAATAACAAGTCTCACGATGGAGATGTTACTGGGCCTGCTCGAGCAAATCGATGTACAACAGGAGGACCATGCTATCATGCTATGCTAGACGTGTAGGAATCAGCAACAAACAGATATTTTCAAAGATAGCTTTAAAATACTGAGTATTGTGGGGTATATAAGCATCCAAACAGATGATTGGTTGGAGTAAATGAGGGTGGCAGTGGTGTTGGGGGGTGGGGTGGGGGAGTAACATAATGATGTCATGCATATAGCGTTACTGGAGCCCAGTTAGAAAGTTATGTCTTCTTGAATAAGTTATATTTGAATTCATCTTGAAGTTTTTCAGATGAAATATAAAGGTTGAATGTAATTTAGCTATGAGTTTGTATAATGTAGAAAATAGATAATATTCACTAAACTATTGAACTCATTTAGTATATATCTTTATTTTTTCCTTTTTTTTTTTTTTTTGTTTTTTTGGGGACACATCCAGCAGTGCTCAGGGCTCATTCCAGGCTCTGTGTTCGGGGGTTACTCATGGTGGGATTTGGGGGAACCATAAGTGGTGGCAGGGATCAAACTGTGGTTGGCTATGGGCAAGTCAACCACCTTAACTGATCTTGTTTCTTCGACCATGTGTCTTCATGGAGCTGTGACTTGGACTTGAGTTCTGCCCCTATAGTGTGACCATTCTGACTCATGGTCATAGCCCAGAAATACTGAGTGGGTTGGTAGATGAAAAGAAGTAAAGGGTGTCTCAGATACCAGTGAGTATGGTTGGGGAAGCTTTGGAAGTTGATGTACATTTGCAGATAAATAAGAACAGTCCATTAATGCAGGCAGCACAGGGACTTGGAGAGATAGCTAATTCTTTCTTAAGAAAATAACTTGAACTCTTAGGAATATTCCTGTGCAGACATGTTGCTTAGACCCTGGAATCCTGCTCTTTGCAGCACCAAAGGAATATGTTAACTGCACTAGCATTGAAGAGCACATACTACCGCTGATCACAACCTTGCTGCAAATTCAGGCCCTGTGGAGTGTCTGATTTTAAATAGAGCTACTTCCTCATGCTACCCAGAATATTACAAAGCTGATATGTGCTTGAGCAAAACTCAGAGGCTTGTTCTGCGGGTTATTTTTGTGATGCTTAATGGATGGTTAGTATGTGCAGTTTTAGTTTGTATGTATTGGTTCAGAGGGCTTCTTCTCCTGACAACGATCCTCAAACTCAAAAAGATTTCTTAGGACTCTTCACATTCTGAAATACGGATCTTTCTGCTAACCTCCATAATTGGGTCTCTTCCTACCTGTTCTATTTTGAGGGGGTATGGGGGATATGGGGCCACAGCTGGTGGTGCACTGGGTTCACTCCTGGTTCTTTGCTCAGGGATCACTCTTGATGATGCTGGGGGACCTTACATGGTGCTAGGGGTTCACACTTGGGCTGGCTGCATGCAAAGCAAGTGCCTTTATCCCTGTGCTATGGCTTTGACCTCCCACTTGACCTCTTTTTTTCCTTCTTCTTCTTTTTTTTTTTTTTTTTTTGGCTTTTTGGGTCACACCTGGATCTGTCTTATGCAAGGTAAATGCCTTACCTGCTGTACTATTAGTCCGTCCCCAGGCTGCTTGACCTCTTGAGGTTGAATAGCTATCTCAGAGCCTTTTAGAACTCTTCCTCTTCAGGGGCAGCAGGAAAGGCTCTTGCCCTGCACGCAGTCAACCTAGGTTCGATCCCTGGCATCCCATGTGGTCCCCTGAGCACCACCAGGAATAATTCCTGAGTAATTCCAGGAGTAACCCCCCAAAAAGCAAAACAAAAAATATTACTCTTCATTCCTCCTCCTTTTGCCCCTCTTGTTTGATGGCAGAATCAAGGTATTATTAATTCTTTCTTTTTCCTTTTTGGGTCACACCCGGTGATGCACAGGGGTTACTCCTGGCTCATGCACTCAGGAATTACTCCTGGCAGTGCTCAGGGGACCATATGGGATGCTGGGAATCGAACCCTGGCCGGCTGTGTGCAAGGCAAATGCCTTACCTGCTGTACTATTGCTCCAGCCCCTATTACTAATTCTTGATATCTTCCTTCCATCCTGATGTGGCCAGTCAGCTTCACTTCAGATAGCAAGCATTTATCCATTTTACATCATTTTATGTACCAGTGACTTTTTCCACATGGAAATCATTCTTTAGAACAGCAGATCTGGACATCTAACAGGCCTCCCAGCCGCTACTTTTGCTGTTTCTAATGAGTTTCCTGCATGGCATGCAGTGATCTTTGTAACTTGAAACTTGACTATGCATCTCATCCCATTTACTAGATCTTTGGTGCTGCTTTGTCTTTGGTGCTTTAGATGAAGTGAACTTGATTTACTCTTGACTACTTGGCGTGATACGGCCTTGTCTGACTACTCCAACTCCATCTTTTCCTCATGCCCGCTTCTGCTTTCTCTCCTTCAGACTCTCAGTTTGTGGAATGTGCGGAGCCTGCGTCCCACCCCAGCATCTGTTTTACCCAGAATGTCACTCTACACCTCACGTTGTCTTTCAGTGAGGTCTTGCTAGGTCATCCAATTATTTATTTATTTTTGGTGGGGGCGGGGAGGTGGAGACACCACTCCTGACTCAGTACTCAGGGGCATTCCTAGCTCCAGTGCTCTCCAGAGAGCACCACAGGCCCTAACAGTGGGCCATCTGGCGTGGATGGCCAAGTATTGCCAGGTTTGGCCCCAGGGCCCCTGAACAGTGCTTGGGGGAGGTCTCACCCCCCAAAAGAGACTTACATAGTGAAAGCTATCCAGTCTTGAACAAGTGAGCCAATTTCTCCCAGGTCTGCTTTTTCACATTTAAACGGGGACTATCATTTCTATCTCAGGGCTTGTTATCTGTGTAATACATGATATTATGTATGCCAATGCCTTATGGTCCTTGGCATCTTGTAGGTGTCAGGCTTTCTTTGTTTTATCCCTGTTCTAACACAAGAGATTAATAAGAACTGGCAGGAAAACTCATTTAACTCACCTCATAATTTTATTGTTTTTATTCAGTGCATGATCACTCTCAGGGGCACCAACATAAAGGTCAGAATCAGTTTAAGAGGAAGTAATTCAGCCCTCGGGTGCAAATAAGCTATGATGGACCTGTTAGATCACAGTCAGTAACACTGGGGCCCTCAGTCGGCTGCATGGAAATCTCCTTTGCCTTCTCCAAGGCGTTGTGTTTAACATTAAGCTGCAACAGCAAATCAATGCAAGACGTTATTTTCCATTATAGTCTGTGTAGGTATTCTAGGGAGACAGGCCATGTGAAAACATTTTCCTGTGTTAGGTACTTCCATAGAGAATCTTTGGAGGTTCCATTGAAAACTCTGGAATCCAAAAATTTTCTAATGATGTTGTTGGTTTGGTTGGAGGCGGTTGGGGTGGGGGGAAGTTGGGGGGATTTAGCATTTCAGTATTTTAACTCACATAATCTGATTAGAAAGGGTTAAATTCACTTTATTAGGCAATCCATCGCTTAGGCATATCAGTTTGGATGTTAGATTGAGTTTAAGGGGTATGTTTCAGTTTTCCTTATTAAAATCGTAAAGGGTAAATCTGTCATTAGAGAAACTCACCTACCCTTGATTGTTTTAAATTTGTTTGACTGATCGCATGAGATAGTAACTGTGGCAAGGAAATGTGTTCCTATTTAAATTGAGATTTTCACAGAGCTGAGGACTTGGCTACTAAAAGTCCAAGACATTTGTCTATTTGGTCAGTGACTCAGGCAAGGAGATATGGTATGTAGGTACGATATAGGGCACTGGTACAAGTTGGTTGTATAGAACACTTAGTAGATGCAAGCTGTTAGCTCATTTGTAGAATTGGGGAACTTTGGGGTTGCTAAGAAGTTGGATTGAATTCTTTGGGGACTTTCTCACTCTGCCATGTGCTATTGCCAAAGATCTCACCTCTGACCTGACTCAGGTTTTTTGAAAATGTGTTTGATTGGCCATTTTAGATATTGGGACTAGAAATGTGTGAGCGTAGCAGGGTAAATTTGTGATCAGCTCTATTGCACATATGTTGTATGGACTGTAGGAGTGTGTGTGAATACTGATGTTTAGATGTCTCTTTCAGCCCTTGGGCAGTTTTTCATGGCAAATTCTACACCAATATAATTTCCTTGCAAAATGGTGTTTGCTCATGTTAATATGACCTAAAAGAGCATTGTTATCTCACAAGTGGATAATAAATAATTACATGATGATTGTTTTTATTTTGTTTTGTTTTCCTTGGGAAGAAACCACTCATAAGTTCATAGTTGTCTATAAAGTAAACCTATTAGTGGTTGATGTCATTGAGCTTGTTCTGGGTTCTATTATGTATGCTTGATAGGGGCTCTAATTTCTCAACCACATCTGACCTTTTGCTGCTGTTATGTAGGAACCTGCCATTACATGAAGAATACCTTTGCTGAAAAATTGCCTTTGTTGGAATACACGTCTGGTGGTTCAGAGCCAAGCACCTCAGTTGCCCCACATAGGGCTTCAATGTAGCTCTCCTCTCATTAGACTTATTTGATGTTGAAATGACTTCTGAGGGGTGTTTTGGTTTAGTTCCAATGCTAGCAATTGAAAAGAATTTATCAAAGAACCATACTAGTATTTTTTGGTCTGCCTGTAAGTTACCCATTAATAGCCTTCTGTGAAATGTGACATCTCTCTCCTTTTTTTTTTCTTACAGAATGCTATGAATTTACCTCCTGACAAAGCCAGGTTACTGCGTCAGTATGACAATGAGAAAAAGTGGGAACTGATTTGTGATCAGGTAAGAAATGGTGATGCTTATTGATATGTCATTAAGAAATAATGACAGAACCAGAAAAAAATTTTCTTAACTATGTTAAACCATCTGAGTAGATAAATGGATTTATTTCCTTCCTTTTCTTATGACAGAAGGAAAAACACAGAACTTCTTGAAATTATACATATTTTAATTCTTACCTTTGTATTTGAACATTTTGTAGGGGCGGGGAAATGGTTCAAAGGGCCAGAGTGCATTGCTTTGCAGTCTTGGGTTCGGTGGTCAAAATCACAACAAAGTTCTCTGAGGACAAACAGGAGTGACCCTAGAGCATAGAGCTGGGTGAAGCCCCTGAGTTGGATCTTATGGGAAATTTGGTCAGTTGAACAATCTAAATTCAGATGATCCTTTCCCCTCCCTCGTCCCCTCACCGCTTGCCTTACATTGCAGTTTATGCTGCTTAAATAATGCAGTTCCTTGAATAGAGCTGTATTTTCATATGATCGTATTTATTCATGTAAGAAAGTGGGTATTCGGAAGAAATGTTGCTTAGTCTATTTTAAAAAATCCAGATTTGAACAACTCCTTAGCTATTTTTATTGTATCATTATCTCATTATAACACATTCAGACTCCAGAGGAATAGATATTTCTTAAAAAGTGAAATTCCTCACCTTTTTCTTCAGTTGATTTTTTTTTGGGGGGGTTAATGGTGGGGGTCCATACCTGATGGTGTTCAGGGCTTACTCCTTTCTCTGTGCTCAGAGATCACTCCTAGGTGTGTCCTGGGCACCATACGGAAATGGAATTGGCTTGGCCACTTGCTAAGCAAGAACCCAACCACTGTACTATTGCTATGCTCCCGCTCTCCAAATTCTATTCTGCAAAGGTTTTCTGATAAAACTTTAAAGTATCTTCTTTCATCCTTTTTGTATGTTTTTAAAAATAAACAAAAAGCGGATGGCCAGAGCACCACTAGGTGTAAGACCCAAGTACCATCAAATGTGGCCCCCAAAACAATAATAATCAACCAAAAAGTATGTGATACGCATACTCTTCTGCAGCTTAAGACCTGTGTCAGTGTATGTGTCCTATCTGCCTCATTTTAAAAAATAGTATAAAATATTCCATTGTAATGGAAAGTGATTTTTTTAAGGCATTTTGTTGAAGGTCTATGTGAGGTTAATTGTTCTTACACTTTAGGGGGGTTACTTACTCTAAAGGAAAGAGGAGGGTCTCTCTGTACATGAACTACTTGATTTTTTGTACCATTGAATTTCAGGGTAATGGTATCCCCAAGGATTCCTGAGAAGTGCTGTATCTCCTCCGAATACAGCGCCCTGGGGTTTCTGCTGTGGGGACAAAATGTGCAGAGGAAAAGGGGGATTTTCTGATTTTTTAAGGGAGAAATTTCTCAGTTCCCTCAAAAATAGAAGCTCGCAGTTCGCATGAAAGTTTTGAGGGCAGGAGGTGGGCCACACCCAGAAATACTCAGGACTTACTCCTGCTCTGTGCTCAGGCATCACTTCTGGTGGAATTGGGGGTGCCAGGGATCGAACCCAGGTTCATCATGTGCAAGGCAAGTTCTCTACGCTCTGTGCTATATCACTTTGGCCCCTCATATGGGACTTCTGGAGCACATGGGTTCTTTATTTTGAGCTTCTGAATCCAAGCAGTGACAGGATGCTTGTCAGATCCTCCTCTTGTCCACAAGGTACTTGAACACTATGACTTGGTGGAAATATCGATAGAGGAAGCTTATTGCTGACAGTTTCACAGTCCAAAGATAAACATTTTGCTGACATGTCCTTATAATGTCCTTCCTTGAGCTGTAACTTCTTGTTGTTGTTGTTGCTTTGTTTATGGGTCACACCCAGCGATGCTCAGGGGTTACTCCTGGCTCTGCACACAGGAATTATTCTTGGCAATGCTTGGGGGAACCATATGGGATGTTGGGGTTCGAACCCAGGTCAGTTGCGTGCAAGGCAAACATTCTACCCACTGTACTATCACTCTGACCCCAAGCTGTAACTTTTAATAAAGGATTATCTAAACCTATTATTGTAAGGAAAGAATGGATTTATAACAAAAGTCAGCAAAAATTATCAGAGTGAATTCACATGAAGGAAAGATAATCACACTTATGAGGAGGCCCCAAAGGGTGAAAATTTCTCACTTTATTTTTTTAATTTATTTTTATTTTATTTTATTTGTGCTTTTTGGGTCACACCCAGAGATGCACAGAGGTTACTCCTGTTCATTCACTCAGGAATTATTCCTGGCGGTGCTCAGGGGACCATATGGAATGCTAGGAATCGGACCCGGGTCGACTGTGTGCAAGGCAAATGACCTACCCGCTGTGCTATGGCTCCAGCTCCCAAATTTCTCACTTTAGAGAGTTATTATAGTGCAGAGCACAGGCAAAGAAAGCACAGCCCAGCCCAGCCGCCTTCCTCAGGGTCCACTGAGGGCTTGTTGCCAACTCAGTTTGTCCTTCTTTCCACTTGACTGAATCTTTTTTTATATTTCCAATATGCCAGAAGGGAAGACTGCTGATGATAGAAGATTATAGCCGCCTATTCTTTGACTATCACAGGGTCAGTGGAAGCTCAGGGAGCCTAAGGCTGACAAAGGCGCATATCAGTACTCAAAATATTGTTTCTTTTCTTTTCTTTTCTTTTTTTTTTTTTTGGCATCTTTGTCTTTACATGTCTTAGGCTTGGGTTTAGAGAATTTGGAGAATTTAGCTTTGTTCCTTTCAGCAGTGTTTCAACATGTGCTGCAAAGTCTCCAAATCGAGCAGCTCCGTCAGTCCTGAGGTACTCTGGGTGCTATTTGTTCATTACTATGAGTTAATATTTAAATTTTTGGGTTGACTACCAGTGTAGAAGTAGATTTCTGTATCAGGAGCCTTGTCTTTATAGTGAATCTTCAAAGAAGTCATACTTGTTGATGAACACGTGCCATATGGGGAAGACTGAAATTTGGTGGGAAATCCTTGGTGAAGGTCAGTAGTAAGTGGCATCGGTCATCTGGTTATGGAAAATCTATAGACTTTTGACATCAGGACCCTTAACTGCTACTCTCATGGTTTCCAAAACCCATGTGACTGATATTCTTAAAAAGAAGTAAACATGTGTGGTATGTCTTCTAGAAGATTCATTCTTGTGAGCCTGAAAGGGATAGAGGGATGAGGCGTTGTAACACAGGCCTTGTGCCTCCCCTCCAAACATTGCTACTAAGGAGAACCATTTGGGGGTAACCATAGTGAGTCATTCTGAGATTTTCGGTCAGCAGAAATCAACTTTTTGGTCACATGTGGGCAACTCATTTAGAATGAATGTAAGACATGCATGACGATCATTTCTTGTTTGTATATTTGGAGCTTAAGTATTAATAATATACTATTCATAGTACAGTAGAGTAGTGTTTATTCACCTAATATTTATTTATTGACTGTGGACCATGTCGTCTCTGTGTGTCTCTATATTAAATAAACTGATGGAATCGCAAAATATATTTGCTTTTGTGATTTAATGTTTGAAATGTCCAAAATAAAAAAAAATCTACAGAAATGTCAGAAAATAGATTAATAGTTGCCATGGCCCGGGAAGGAGAATGATGACTACTCCTACTATTTGGGGCTGAGTTTTCTTTTTTGGTTGTAATGAAAATTACAATTCCATAGTGGTGCAATAACTTAGTACTAACTGTTCCACCACCATGAGAATAAGCTGAAATTGTGTAATTTAAAAGTGTGAACTTTTATGTATGTGGCTTATATCTCACATTATAAGCACCGATTTTTTGGTTTGCCTTTGTTTGGGGGCCACACCTGGTGATACTCAGAGGTTACTTGTCTCCTGGCTCTGTAGTTTATAATTATTCCTGACTGTGCTTGGGGGACCGTAGGGAATGTCAGGGATCGATTTGGGTTGGCTGCATGCACCCTACCCACTGTACTATCTCTGTACAAACCTCTCACTTTGTTTTATAATTAAATATAATTTCCTTAGTGTCTTGGTCCAAACCCCCAGCACTTTGCTTAATGCCTGAAATGTAATCTAAGTGCAGGTCACAGTGGGGTGGGGGTCGAGGTTAAGAATGCTCAGTAAGATTTGAGAGACTGAGGGGAAGGGGAAGGAGGTAGTGGCAGAGGGAACCCGGAAGGATGAACGTTTGCTATTTTTGTTCCTTTTTCCCTTTCACCTTCCTCCAACTGTTTGTGTAATTGTGGTAAGTGAAACGAAACTTTCCTGCTCAATTCTGGAAACTTCTTATGAATGGGAAGGGTATCGTATGTAGATACAGAAACTAATTGACACTGTTTCCACTAGTCAACTGAAAATCTGATTTTTTGCTTACTTCTAAAATTGTACAATAAACAGTTTTTTGGGGGAAGGAGAAAAATTTAGGTCATACTTGGCTCAGCGGCCGCCCCTGACTCTGTGCTCAGGGGTCACTCTGGATGGTGCTTAGGATTCCAAGGGAGTGAGTGGGGAGTTAAACCTACATCAGTGGCATGAAAGGCAAGTGTCTTAACCCTGTGTACTATCCTAGCCTGAGAGTAATTTTTTTGTGTGTGGGATGGGGGCACATATGGCAACGCTCAGTGGCTACTCCTGGCTCTGTACTTAGGAATCACTCCTGGCAGTGCTCCGGGGACCATATGGGATGCTGGGGATCAAACTCAGGTCGATAAAATGTAAGGCAAGTACCCTACTTGCTGTGTTATCTTTCTGGTCCCAATTAAATCATGTGAGCATGACTTTGGAGTATTTTCTTATTTTTCGGCACCATACTCTGAGATTCTCAGAGGTTACTTCTGGCTCTGCACTGCTTAAAGGGCTCAGGGAGACATAGGAAAAAAAATTTTTTTAAAAAATAGAATATTTTAAAGATATTAAATCCCAGGGACAGAGCCAGAGTGATAGTCCAGCAAGGAGGGAGTTTGCCTTGCATGTGGCCAACCTGGATTTCATCTCTGGCACCCCATATAGTCCCCCAAGCACTGCCAGGAGTAAT